TCGGGCTCGACGTCGACGAGGGAGTTTCGGAGTGGAACAAGTCGTTGGGCAAGTAGCAGGAGGGGCCAAAGGAATGGGGTCTGGTGGAGGTGGCGTCTTCATCATCATGTATCAGAAGCACGGCCGCAGGGCTGCAGACCGATTGCTGCTCGAGCCGTCTCGATTTGGGCGGCCGCGACCCCGGCTCTCTTGGCACAAACAGACCGCGGGTGACGGAAAAGGTAAAGGGAGTGGCGGAACAGGGAGCCTCGTGTGGCTCGCAGGCATCGTTCTGAGGGGGCCAATCACGAATTGTGCCGAAGTGCTGAGCCTCCGAGGTGCATACACCCTCCACCAGGTCCATGTTCGCCGCTGCCAAATGTCAAGGAAAGCGTTGCCGCGAAGGATGGCCTCGATGCGGGAGAAGAAATTAATTCCGCTTCGCCTGCAACGGTCGAAGGCAGCAAAATTAGAGCTCGGCATCGCAAAACGTCAGCCTCCGCCTTTGAGCGGTTATCATCAGAGCCTTTCTTGCTGGTGCTTTGCTTTCGCGGTGCCAGCGACAGAGTCCAACCCAGAAAGTGCTCTCGTTCGTCGTGAGTTCCATGACTGGCCCGAGCTCCAAGCTTGGTATCATTTTGCAATGCACAACAACGCTCCGTGGCTGAGCCAGTGCTGTGCATTCACAAATGTGCCTGGCCCATGCTTTAAAAAGAAGACGCTAGTCTGCAAGCGGCTTGGCTTTCCCGGCTAGCGGCAGTTTCAGTGGGCGAAAAAGCGCAAGCCAATCATCTTCTCGTTGGCTGTGATCGTGACAGTGGTGACAACGCCATCGGCAGTGGGGTTGACCTCGAAATTACGTCTCGCGAATTATAAAGCCGAGGGCTGAGGATGGTCTGGGTGATATTTCGCCGTCGATACCTATCGCTTGAGACGTCGATGTCGAGGTTTGAAAGCTGAGCCAGTGAGGGGAACAAGCGCGTCAAGGTGACACTGACAGGAAGCGGGGCCCGGAATGTTTGAAGACCCCGCACCCACCACAGGGCCTGGATCGACCGCCAAAACGGAAACAGGTCGCGCGTGTGGGGGAATGGCGGAAAGCCACCCAGTGGACAACTTCAGGTCCAAGGCAGAGAACGAGCTTCTCAACGATGTTGTGAATTACATCCCGGTTCCGAGGCTGTGTATAGTGATTTCGATGTTGCACAACTGCGTCGCATTGTACCTGAACCGCAAAGTGGGACCCGGCAATCGGACCCGTCAACACTGCCTTGCAGGGCGACGAAATACCACCTCCCGCTAACGATGGCACGTCGATTCTCCAATGTGAGGAGCTAATGCACTTTTGACGGATTCCACGCCAGTTCCTTGTCGCTCAACAGATGCTCTTCTACCCCGAGACCTGTGTCAAGGCAATGGTCAGTCGCGTGCCTCATTTCTCTGGCATGGCTCATAAGCGGCGCGCTGGTCATGTGGGCATGCCATCTTGGAGGTAAACGAGGTAGGTGCGTTGAGAAATAGGGCTTTGGTTCTCTCCCACCAAGCAGCCTTTCAAATGAACGCCAGATTTAGCCTCCTACTCTCGAGGCGTTCCTACCGGCAATGTCGTTCCCATCGCTTCGAAAGAACCGCCGTTCGGTTGACGGACGGAGCAGCGGGAGAAGAGCGTAAGCGCCTGGCGGGTCCACGGATACAGAAGTAACAGAACACCTCATCTGAGCCAAAAGCATTTCCGCGCCATCCCGTGAAACGCCGGCGGCGCAGGATGGCGCCGCTGTCTTACTCCACAAATGCCAAAAACTGGAAGAAACTGGAATTCTCGGAGGAAACGTGGTAACCCGCTGGGCCTCGACGAGACATCGCCGAGGGCTCAACCATTCCGAGGGATCGTGTCAGGGTAGATCGCCAAGTCTCGGACCTCAACTGATGCCTCCCAGTGCGATCCTTGGGCGAACGTGAACCTGAGGAACCCGGAACGCAGGTAAACGGGTCACGATTCGAGTTCTCCAGAAGCCTCTCTGGGGAGCCATCGGGCGCAAATGGGCGTAAATTTGGAAGGCCCGACCCGCAGCCACCTGCAACGGCGGACAATCGGTGGTTAGCGCCCACCCACGCCACCGGGACATGCTGCGTCCTTCCGCACAAGCGACGCCATCCACAAATCGGCAATCCGCATGCCTACCGCACATGCCCGCCCGAGGTCCATGAGAAATTGAAGGTCGACATTCATAGATCGAGCGTCGCCTTGCGGACCAACAACTGGCCCTGCAGGCCCCAATGCAGGCGTTTTGGCTACGATTGGAGGATCCCCCGCCACGTAGGCGAGTCGGTCAACCGAGTGCCGGAACACCAATGGCCCAAGGCATCGTCGCCCTGGAGATAGGGCATCGACAAATCCAACCGAACAATGTGCGACTGACTGGCACCACTTTGCAAGACACATGAGCATTATGTTGGACTGCAGCATACTAATGCTTCCTCTCGTCCCACTATCCTCGTTCCGTCATGGCATCTTACATGTCCCACGCACCACACCCCACCGAGATTGTCAACAACCACCGGCCTCATGTCGCGGTTCTTCAAGCCAAACTTCCCGTCTCTGAACCGGAAGCAGTCCCGCAGGTCCATCTTCAAGGAGGAGTTTGACCCCGACCAGTCTATTTTCGACAACCGCGGACCAGCCGCTGAGTTCGGACTGGGCGCCATGCCCACCTCTCCAACCCCACGGGATGTCAGACGGCTCGCTTCAAATCATGAGTTTGTCCTTGGTGCGCTACGGGTGCCCAGGCGTCTTGGACTATGGCCGTTCATTGCTACCCATATGTCTCTCATCGCCGCCTTTGTCGTGGGCATCATCTCCGCCATTGTCGCCATCGTTTACACAAGCTTGACGGGCAAACAACCGCTACAATGCCCATTGTGGGCCATCGACTGCGGCAGGACAGATGACTGGACAATCGAAAACCTCGGGACGATCCAAGGGGTCATTACGCTCCTATATTTCATCGGCGTTTCCTCCCTTGCGTTTGTTGCGCTGGCGTTTTGCGAGGCGGCGATATGGCCATTATTGACCAAACAGTCCTTCACCATCCGGGGGCTGGAAGTATACCTTGCAACAACAAGGGGCTCAGTTTTATCGGCCCCGGCAGCGGCTATGAGCATCAAATCTACGGCAGCAGGCTTCATCTACGCCGCCGCAGTCACCGTCATCCTGGTTCCTCTGGCATCTCTTCCACTCGTCGGCCACGCCTTCACCCCTGTCGCCGAGTCTGTTCTCCTTGGAGGCCAGTTGTCCCGGGCTGGTGGTATCGATGAGCTCTATGCGCAGACCGATCCTCCAACGTCCGTGGTCGCCGGGGTCTTGGCCAAATACCATTCTTGGTCTGCCAACCCGTCGTCAGAGCCCATGCCAGAATACCGTGACTGGTACATCGACCGCGAGACGCTGGCTCAAAGGGGGGGTTTCTCAGCCAAGGCAGTGAAGCTAGACACTTCCATCTCTTGCACTCCTTACCAGACACAACAAGTCAGTCGGGAGGGTCTCTGGTGGAACGCCTTTTTGACCAACATGACGCGCACCAACAATAATTCGAGCGATCCCGGGAACAAGAACAGCAGCGCCGAGATTTTTGTTCGAAATGTCCCCCAGCTAACGCTCTGGGCGGATTCCTTCGACTTTGTCACGCCTCACCAAACCCGAACGAGACTTGTCTTCGCCGCTCTGAACGGCTCTATTGAAGGAGGGGCACAATCGCCCTACTTCTCAACCAACGTGTCTGGCGCCTCTGCCATTGCATGCGAAGTCGACATGTCTGCCCACGACAGCATTCTCACTGTTGGACACAGCGCCTCGTCTTCGGAACTTGCGACCCTATCCTCACTGGCCACGCTCAAAACGTCTCCCTCCGCGCTCGAAGGCACAGTACTCAACGAGCTCCTTCTTTGGTTTACCATCTCGCCGTTGCTCGCCTCGCCTTCAGTCGACGGCACGCAGCCCATGTTCGCCAACTCGACTGCTACAAACCGTGCGATCCCTTACACCACTTCCTCGTCCGAACGAAACATCTGGTCCACCCCTGGCATTGAGGATATGATCAGACTATCCATCGGAGCACTCGCGCAGACAACAGCTTCTCATCTCACCTCGGGAGTTGCACACGGCAGCCCCGAAGTTCTTGTCTCATACGCAACAGTGAAGAAGCTTGATCCATCGCGCGCGCTCCTCTTGTTGCTCTTGCCCCTTTTGGTCCTTGTCGTGATTGTGGCCGTTGGGTTCTGGAGCACTTATATACACAAGAAGGAAGGGATTCCTGTGATGCGATTGATGGGGATTGGAGAGGTTCTCAAGAGCGCCCAAACAGGGTATCTTAGAGCGAAAGCCGGGACTGACGCCGCAAAGACGTACCTCCCAAACGAGCTAGGTAGTGTTGTGGTCAGGTATGGGGTGGACAAAGATGGAATTGCCGGGCTGGCGAGGGGAGTCAGGGATTTCAGGGAAGAAGCACCAGCCAGGGTCGAGTTTATTTAATGGAAGATGGTTTGGAGGGAACACATGGCGTATTGGGAATCATGAGTGCATTACACGGCGTATTTTGTAGATAGAGTCAAGTTTCGGAGCTCTAGGAGGAGAGTAATTTCACGAAGGGAACAACCTGTTGGTCTCGAACATGATCGTACTCACGAAGTAAAGTGGCGGGTTGAGCTGTGCTAACCCCCCTCTTTCTGGTACGTCAATCACTCTTACCTTTTCCACTCTGCTTCTACTGGGCGGTGACAAAGGGTTCAATATGTGTTCATGATGGGGCAGGCTCACCCTGAAGGATGAAATATACCACCTAGCTCAAGCTGAAAATATCAAGGATAAACAAAGATACCTGATTCTTCAGCGGAGATATCTACTTCCGTCATTCCAGCAGACATCCAAGTTCAAAGGCTCTCCCAAGTTATCAAAAGGAAAAAAAAAAAAAAAAAAAGACATCAACCACAGGTGTAGTTAGGTTGCAAAAAGAAATAATTGTTGAAGGTCGTACCCGGAATCGAACCGGGGTTGCCGGAAGTGACTCGAGTCAGAATCAGAATCCGGAGTGATAACCGCTACACTATACAACCGATCGACCCACTTGTCTGTGGATGTTCGAACTCGGCACCCAAAACCTCTTTTATGGAGACATTAATGGAACGTTGTGATTCTCCCAACGTGGTAGGTATCTCGCACCTTACTTTCTCATCTATAAGTTGATTGTACAAACTCCAAACCATGCAACCGAACCAAGTTATTCCCTTCCCAGTGTCCAAAAAAAAAAGGATATTTATAGCCAATATAATTTCGTGCCGAGCCGAGCCAGACCAACGCCAAAATCAAGATCGATGGTATCCCCACTGAAGCCAACCTAGTGCAAATCCCCCTTCCCTTCCCTTCTCACCAAAGCAGTTACTGTGCCGAGATCTACTGGGGAACAAACTGCGCAGCCTTGGTATGCTCAATATCAGGTGTGAGCCTCCCCTTGCGGAACTTGTGAAAGATGATAGCCGAGTAGGCGAGGAAACCCAAAAAGACGATCCTATTTATTATCTCTTGTCAGTATCACATCAAAAAAAACACATTTTGCATCACGAGTGATGACAAGGGGAAAAAAAAAAAAATACTTACAGCTCAGCAACAGCAACTCCAATCGTCCTCGGTGTGCGCTCGCCGTAAAACGTCAAGATGAAAATGAAAATCATGAATGCCGAGTCCAGAATGTTGACCAACAAGAAAAAAAGCGGCGAAAGCGTGCGTCGTCCGCGCTTGATGAAGCAGACGATTTCCAGGATGCAGGCGAGACCAAAGAGCGCAACGATGACGCCCGCGACGGCGCGCGCGGCGGGCAGGTTGAGCGAGACGTTTTCCTCGCGCTCAAATTCCTCGAGCTGGTCGTTAAAGGCGATGAAGCTCGCCAGCACAAGGGAGTAGATGAATGTGCCGACGATGAGGACGAGACCGCGCAGGATCCAAAAGGGGATGAGGATGCGCTTTTGGAAGGGGGAGGATTCGTGGCGGATGTAGGGGGCTGTCATTTTGGCGGGCTTGTATTTGCGTTGTGGGTTTGGAATGTGTCGTTGGCGTTGAGGAAATAAAACACTAAAATGAACAGCACAGGATTTGTGTAGGAAGAGAGAACCAAAAAAAAATTGAAGCAGATGGAAGACGAGATGGAAGTGAGAAGAGAAAAATAGGAACTGATCGTTAGGAAATATCAGAACACTTGATTCACAAAGGGAAAAAAACTAAAACTGGAAGGGATGTCGGGCTCATCAGATCGAAATCCGAGTGAGTCGAGGTGGGCATGTCCCTTTGTTTTAAAGTTATTTTGAGAGTGTCGTCAAAGAAGAGTGACTCCTGTCCCAATCGCCTTGTCGATGTCGCTTTGTCTCGACGGCAAGTGAAACAGGCCAATCGGTAGTCGGCCAGCAGCCACAGCCCCTGGCTGTGGTGGAATGGGTCAGAAATGCTGAGCGCATTCGAGGGCCAATCGTCCACAACGGGCCAGGGCCGGGCTGGCGGGCCCCTTGGGTCGCTTGTCGCTCGGCGCTTGTGACGCTGGGTTGGCTGAGTTTCTCGGCGGCAATTCCGCTGCTGCCCGCCAACGCGGCGCGGCCTGGACTGCTGACGGGCTGCCCGTTCAGAATTCTGGAACAAGGGCAAACAAAAGATGTACGAACCACCCAAATGAGCTGCATTTTGCGCTGCTTGGATTCCAGGGTTCTGCTTTACCAGCTGCCTGGGAGTTCAGCTGGATGCGCATCGCAGATTTCACGTGCGCCTCGTACCCGAGACTTGGCCCTCGAGCGTTGCGCCTTTCAACCGTTATTTTGACACTCGGGCGCTCGTGTCCTTTGTTCTCGTTGTTGGCGACCCAATGGCCCAACGATGGGCGACAAGGTTTGACCGACACCCGGACCCGAGGCACCACTTGTTGAGCCGCGACCTTGGAGCCCTTCGCGGAGGCTGCAACCCCAGCGCATGTGGCGCATGGGTTTCTCCCGTCAGCGAATGTTGCCGTCTCTCTTGGCTATTGCGTATCGCGTGGCTGAGCTTGTGGTGGTAAACGGGAGTGGCATGTTGCCAATGCGACCCCTCTGCTAGGTATGCATCACGAGGCGCAGCTCAAGCTGAACAGCGGGATAACTCGAACGCGGAACTAAAGCGCTCATAGATCGTCTCATTAAGTCTATAACATCATTATCATGAGTCCAAGACGCCAATCATGTTTATCCGCCAGCTGCTCCTGTTCCGCGTCTGTCCAGACGGGTATCACCACCAACCTCGCCACCGCCAACAACCTGCACCACTCAGCCGTTTAAGCCTCAATAAACTCAAGCAAGTCCGCGTTGACTTTGTCTGCTTCCAAGTTGGGTAGAGCATGTGCGCCACCAGGGTAGACTTTGAGTGTGCCTTGGGGCAGCAAGTTGATGGTCTTGAGAGCGGACGCTTTGATGGGAACGATCTGGTCCGCGTCACCATGGAGGACCAAGACCGGGATGTTCATCTTTTTAAGGTCCTCGGTGAAATCCGTCTCAGAAAACTGCTTGACGCAATCGTAGGCGCCCTTGAACCCAGCTTGCATGCCCTGTTGCCACCAGCTCTCAATGAGCCCCTTGCTGACCGTGGCGCCGGGGAGGTTGAAGTTGAAGAAGGGGCCGCTGGGCACGTCGTAAAAGAATTGTGAGCGATCCTTCAGAATGGACTCTCTGAAGCTGTCGAATACGGCCAGGGGTGTGCCTTCGGGATTGGACTCGCTCTGCACCATTATGGGAGGGACGGCGCCGATGAGGACGGCCTTCTTGACGCGGTCTGTCCCGTGACGGCCGACGAAACGGGCGACCTCACCGCCGCCGGTGGAGTGGCCGACCATGACGGTGTCGCGGAGATCGAGATGCTTAAAGAGCTCGTGGAGATCATCGGCGTACGTGTCCATGTTGTTGCCCTCCCATGGCTGATCGCTACGGCCGTGACCACGGCGATCGTGGGCAATAACACGATACCCCTTGCTCGCGAGGAAGAACGCCTGGCTGTCCCAGTTGTCGGCGTTCAGGGGCCACCCGTGAGAAAAGGTGACGACCGGGCCGGACTTGTTGCCCCAGTCCTTGTAGTAGATGGACGTTCCGTCGCGAGTGGTGAAGGAAGGCATATTAGGGGATTTGTGAGAAGCGTTGAGAGTACGTCTAAGCGTAGGCTCAAGAACCGTTGCGGTAATGATGTTTCTGGGCTCGGTGTGTTCAAGATGACGCAAGAGCTACGTAGCTGTGAGTGGTGATGACGATGATGCTAAAGGTGTGACTCCCAAACGAGGGCGACGTGCTTTCTTTATACTCGAAAATGAAGACATATTAGGAGCGTCTACTATCACAAATCTGTAAGACGTTCTGGCCGGAAGGGGATGGCGGTTGGTGGTGCTCACTAATCCACGGCGCCCCCGATTCGGCAACGACTCGGCGTTTTTGCTTCGCGGACCGGATGCGTCTTACAAATAGCGACCCGGACTTGGCCGGCGCCGGCGCTCGTCTCCCGGATTTCAGGGCCGACATGACGACGCTACGGGCTGCTGAGAACGACATTCCATCAGGCGGGCATATTTTAGATCGTTGATAGGACCCGTCCTATTTTGACCTTTACAGAAGCGCGTTCCTTCGGGATCACTCCTTCGCCTAAATGCTTGATCGTGAAAGGGCCCGTTCACTGCCGAAGTTAGCGTTCAAGCGATGATTCCTTCACTGTGCCGCATTGGGCTTGATAGTTCCGTCCTCGTGGTCGTTTTCGCTGCTGTTTCAACGCGTCGCACACTTTGCAATCAGGCAATCGAGAGCTCCACCCAGCGATAGGCAGAAACGATCTTAGGACACGGAAGGAACAATTCCCGAAGATATCCTAGTTCACCCCCCGTAGGCTGCATTTTCGGGCTCGATAGGAGATGCCTTGGGTCGGTGAAGACTCGGCGCGAAAATGGTTGATGAGTAAGTCATAATTGAAGGCAGAAGTGGACAGCAGCACAGCGTTGACCTCATCGTCGCTCGCTCGAGTTCGATATCAGTATCGGGACAATTAGTCAGGGTGAAAACCCGGCTAAGATTATTTCATAATTTTTTCTTCGTCTCGCTTTTCACCTTTTTCGCGGATTGGCATCGAAGTCCATTTCCGCAGATTCCCGACTCCTCTTCAATTCCAAATCCTCGACTTGGATCCCCCGCTGAGGGGCTCGCTGAGGGGCTCGCTGGGGGCTGGAGCTGTCGTGGGGGCGGCGGGGCCATTTCCTTGGCGCATCCCACCCTGACATCATCGCTAAGAAATTCTTCAACACTGGTTTTCTTCCCGACAAACTTTTGTTTTGACCGAAGACAGATGTAACCGTGAAATTGCGATCATCCTCACGGCATCGCCAATGAGCTTACAATACGGGTGGCTGATGGCGCGGCTCGCGAGGCATTGAGAGGGCAAGCTGTCAGTCGTTCTCAATCGTCCTTCTGAACCAGCGATTGCCCCGGCCCCGCATCTCGAGGCTAGAGTTCTGATGGCAAACCACCACAGTAGTCGCAGAAGAGACAAAGCTGGTTACCGCTCATCTGATGAGAGATCACACAGGACAGAGCATAGTTCTCAGAATCCAACGTTATCATTACGGTATCAGGTATTGGCATATATTGCGGGAGAGAGCGTCCTATCATAACAAGACCATCAAAGACTCAAAATTAGATGACCAAGCCCTTGACTTGTTTAAAGTCCTTCACCTTGACGTCCCTCCACACAAGCACACAAGCAATCGAAATGACCTGAATCACCGTCGACGCAACAAGCATCCACTTCTGGGCCTCGCTGTACGCCTGCTCGATGGCGTCACGTGTAGGCGTTCCCGGCTCGTAGGACAGCTGCACGGCAAGCGAGCCGTAAATCTCGGTGATGTTTGCCTGGGCTTCCTGGGGAAGATATCTCCTCAAGTTCTTGGGGAACAAGTCGTTCCAGATGGCGGCGGCAACCGTCGACCCAACAGCGCCGCCAACGCTGGCAAACATGCCCTCAATCGCCAACACGACAGCGATGTACTGATGGGTCGTCACGGCCATGGCGGCGATCT